GAATAATATGCATTCTGGCCAAGAAGTGCTGCAGTTTCACCCTTTAGCCATCAGATGCCACTGTGGCACCAGAACAGTTCATGCAGCTGCTTGTTCTGCAACTTCTGGTTGGAAAAATCCAGAACTGCAGCATTTCTTGGCCAGAATGTATTTTCTGTGGCTGAAAAAATCAAAACTATGCAGGACTGATGTATTCTGTGCATCTGCAGGTATGCAGAATGCTTTCAGGAGATAATTAAAAGCCTTGTTAGTAAAATTGAGTCAAGCCAAGCTTTAAGTATACAGTAGTAGTTATGGACAAATTTAGTAAATGCTTTCCCTTTTGTTTGTTTTTTTAAAAACAGGTTCCTGCTTTGGATCAAAGAGATGATCTTTTGAAACTTGCTGAATTTAAATTGGTGTCGATATCAGCTGCTGTCAAAATGTTGTCAGATGGCTCAATGAATGCCTCAGTCAAGTTAGCAAACTGCACGTTAGATGATAAACGATTGACCTCCCAGAAGACAACTCCAAGGTGTTAATTTTGCATAAAAGATTAAATTGTTAATTTAATCCTAGGGCTGATAACGCTATCCACTAGGTGCTTTAGTTGTTAAATTATGTTTCTTATAAATACAATTTGGAAAGCAGCTAAAATATGTGCGTATGCACAGATTGGATCATATATTCTACATGTTATTTGCTCTTTCTTTCTTGAGGCCTATCAACATTGGTGGGATAATAATATTTTCAAGATGGAAAAAATAGGAGTATACATTCCACTTTTACAAGACAATAGATAGGATATATGGAGAGAATTGTGCCTGTATATGTCTGGAGGATTTTGGCTTTTTTCAGTGCAGCAATAAAATATATTAATATAACTTAAGTAAACATTAAAATGCAGCTGTGTAGGTTTCATTGCAGTTTTTCTGATGTCTAGGTTATTATATTTTTAGATCCTAGTAAAGGATTTGAAATGTGACACACTACAGGCAGTCCCCGAGTTACGCAGATCCGACTTATGTCGGATCCGCAGTTACGAACGGGGCCGTTCCTCTCCCTGGTCTCCAGCAGACCAGGGAGAGGAAGCAAAGCGGCGGAACAAGTGGGCAGCGGACAGGGCTGTCCGCTGCCCACACGCTCCGAGGCTTGGCTCTGCTTTGCCCCCGTCCCCCCGTCCCCCTGGTCTGCAGACCAGTGGGATGGGGAGCAAAGCAGAGCAAAGCCATGGAGCCCGAGGGCAGCAGGACAGCCACGGCGCGTCTGGGCTGTCCCGCTGCCCCCGTGCTCTGCGGCTTTGCTCCGGACGCCTGTGGTACAGCAGCTGGGGCGCTGCTGGTTGGTCCCGTAGCGCCACTCTGGGCACTACTGGACCACCCCGGCAGCATCCCAGATGCTCTGCCCCAGGAGTCCTGATTCAGCCACTG